CTTTCCTGTCACCTGACTCCTATATCAGGGGTCTGGGATTGAACTACCTCTGATGGGGGTGGGGGGAGTTGGAGGAAGACCCTAACTTGCCATGGATAGGATAAAATGAACAGATCATTTGCTTTTAAATACATTTTAGAAAGATCGCCATTATTATCCTGCCTAACCACAAGTGTTTTGCATTTTTTGGGTGACATCAGACTCTTTGTCCATGTGTTCCTTATCCATGTAATATATCTACAAATTTCTCTACTGTGATTTCATATAATAGTATGTTGTGTATGTTTTTTTCATTATTACATGGTCTTCGTAAGTATAATTCTTAGTGGCTGCATAGTGTTAAATCACCATGCGACCTCTGTTTACTCTGGTTTATTTCCTGAGACCCCGCTGAAGTGGCGGCTAGCAACAAAAACAACCCTGGCCTCATACAGACCATGGTTTCACCATCCCTTCCTCACGGTAGTATTTGGGGCTGAGCACTGCCTACCTAGAGCGGTAGAATAACTTCCCAACCGCTGCCCTTTTAATTTCTTTCTCTCTTCCTGACAGCACACCATATGGTCCCTCGGCCACCGGTTCCCCCTGCGGGCACCAACGAGGAGATCCCTGATGACTTCGACTGGGACTTGATCACTTAGGGCATCACGGAGCACAGCCCTGAGCCTGAGGCTGGGCAGCAAAGTCTGGCAGTGGGGCAAGAACGGCCCTGGCCCACCCCTTCCTCCTTGCTGTATATACTTATATAGCCTCTTTTTTTCTTGCTCTGTCAGAGAAGCCACCGCGAGATGCTGCCGAAGATAACCCCCCCTTTCCTGCCTCCTTCTTCCTCTTCCTTCTTGTTTTTTTCCGAATTCTTTTATTATTATTCTTATTACGGTATTATTATTATTATTGTTATTATTATTATTGGTTATATGCTGTCCCCAGTCTTCTGCCCCTCCTCCGTGGACCGTGTCCACCCCTTGCTAATTTAAACCCATCTGGCCGGAAGGTGAGGCCTTGATGGCAGCAGAAAAAGGTTTCAGACTTTGATTTACCTTTCTCCTTGAGAAACTCAATGCTAATCTCACCTTTGGGCCCTAAATTGTTTTCTGTTCCTGTCAGTTCAGTCCAGTACTAGAGAAGCCACATTCTCAAGTAAAAGGGATCTAAAACATTGCTTGGCAGCCATGAACTTGCAGGTTTTACTCAATGGTGCTAATTTTGTCCTCTGAGCTCTTCCTTGTCCCTTTATATCTTCAGTCCTTACTCTGCCGATGCTCACTCCCCATCTAGGGAAAGAGTGATGGTGGTGGTGCAGGAGGGTGACCATAAAATCCTAGTGGAATGAGACGTCTGGGTTGGGTGGAGTCAAGTACTGTAGAGGGGCGATGGAATATAAAACAGTTTCTATATGCTACTAGAAACTTCCATTGGCTTATTCCTTGCCCCTAGTCTATTGGAGATAGGGTTGGTCTTGGCCAGAACTCTGCTTCTGTGGTAGGGGTGAGGGCACCTATTCAGCATAGGTTCAGCTTTTAGGAGATGGTTTCAATTTAACCCTTTTGAGTTTTTAAAGGTAATTCTCTCTGGAAATTAACTGTGGCTCATATTTGTATTTACAAATTATCCTTCAGTCCCCCTTTCCCATTCGGCAAATATTATTTTGTTCTCCTTCAGTTGTTGGCTCAACTCTTCCTCCCCTTTTATCTTCTTCCCCCGTTTTATGGATCTCAAGAAAGAAAAAGAAGCCATTATCACTCTTTTAGTTTCATCACGTCCTAGGACAAGATGGGAACCTCTTTCCCACTGATCATAGCAGAACCAAACCTATAGCCTTGGTGGTAGGAGGGTGGGGGAAAGGGAAAAGGAGCTGGCATTCACGTGGGTAGGGGATATTTCAGTTATTTAATTGTGTAGGCAAATGCTTCTCTCGGAATTCAGATCATTGGGGCTGAAGCTTGCCATTCGGCTTTCGAGGAGTGAAGGAAATTGGTAGACGGGAGTGAATAATCTAGAGAGGAGAGTTTACGAGGGCCAAGGGAGACCCCCCCCAGAAAAAGGTACAGGGACAACTTCTCTCCTTTAAGGAGGAGTGGACATGAATTACTGCTGCAAAGTACTTAGTGTATGTTTAATGTTAATTGTTGAATATTAGTTACGAGAGGGAAGAACAACTTACTTCTGTTTTTATTTCACTGGATGTTCACTCTCTGAAAGCTACAGGACAAATATGTAAGGCATGGACAAGGCCACTCTCCGTGATTTCTGCATTTCGTTCGTATTCTTTTATTTACCCATGATTTCCAGGAGATCTAGCTTTCTGCTCTTCTGCTTTTCACCCCTTCTTTTCTTTGTAAGGGGGTTATATATGAGAGTTTGTTGAAGAAGGGCTGAAGCAAAGGGGCAAGAAAGGGCGGTTAACTAAAGAGCACTTTATTTCTGTGAAGTTCTTTGTAAGAAATGGGGGTATGAGTGGCTTTGAGTCCCCCGTTGTTGGGCAGTCAGTGGGGTTGCAGTATGACATAATATTTCCCACTGGGGAAGGAAGACTTTCTCTTAGAGGGTGGCGAAATGCCTTTGCCCTGTGTCCCTAATTCTAGGCATCTCTTCCTGATTCCTACCAGTCAGGGTGCCTCCTACACACAGCTTCCCCTTTGTTCTCCCCAAGATTCCCCTCTTTACAAATGATCACTTCTCTTCTCTAAACCCCTTTTCTACTCAGATCCATACAGGATTTGCAAGGGTAGACTAAATTGTACATGTAAATGCCCCTTGTTTATAATTCATCTATGTCTTCTGAAAACTAGTCTCATGAAGACTCTGGTGGGCAGCCGGAGTAACTGAAGTTTGGGGCTAGGGCTGGAGATTGGCCATCAGGCCTCCTGGGATTTTAGCTCCCTTCCATTACACTCAGCCTTGCTAAATGGCACAGGACAAAGCTGACCCTCTTTGGGCCTCAGTTTCCCTTCCACTCCATGAAATGGAAAGAATACTACTTTTTCTTGTTGGTCCAGCGTTGCTGGGCTCGAAGTATAGTCATTGTCCTATTGGGTGATGTGTGCAAAGCTGCAGGAGGTCGCTGCCTACAAGAGGAAATGAGGGAGAAATAGGAGGAGAGGGACAGATGGAGCAGTTAACGTGGTATATAGATCCACTCATCCTTGCTTTCCTCTCTTCGACCCCCAGGTTTCTGGTTTGGTGAGTCCTTTGTACCACCCATAATGCTTTGCATTGGTGCAGGCTGGCAAGGGGGTGTATGATCTCACAAGTTGTTGTTGTTGTGTTTTGCATGCTTTCTTAATAAAAAAAAAAAAAAGGAATGTTTATGGTTTTATCTTACTGGGGCTGGTCTCAAATTTCTTTTTGCCGGGGTAGGAAGGCAGAAAAGGGGAAGCATTTGTCTTCAATTGGCCTTGTACCCCTTCCCTGCCCCCCACCCCTGGGTCCGACTAGTTGGTCTTGAAATTGTTTTGTAAGATTGATGGTAAAGAAGAATTAAAAAAAAACATGCATTGAACATTGCTTTAAATATAGTGAAATATTGTTGGGAGAGGCAGTCATCCCTTGTAGCTCCGTGTATGGCCTAGACCACCTTGCCTGTGTTCTGGGGTATTTCAGGGATTGGAGATGCTACAATTTCGAGAGGAGTTGGATCTCCATATGGGACTTCCTGTGAATACTCACAGGTACTTACCAGAGTTTTTCATAAGAAATGAGGGAATTCCAGTTGTAGGATTTTTTTTTCAGAATGCTTTTCCGGGGATGGAGATCTCAAAGGGAATCCAGAAATAGCAACATTGAACCTTTATAACTATGCCATTCACCCTAATATCCTATACACTAAGTGCAGGAGTTTGGGACTTACACCCAGCGTCTTGTGAGATATGTTGGGACTTCCAAGAGCCTAGCTAATTGCCATTATAGCAAGCTTCCAGCTACCCACTATGAGATTAATTTGCTGTATATTTAGAGATTATGACATATTCTGAATGTCAAACAATTAAGAGGATCCATGAATCTCAGTCTTGCAAGGAACCACAAGAAAGAAAGCATTTATTCATATTAAATATATAAGAAGATTACATTGGAAGGTGACAGTGCGAATTTTACATCATGTCAGACATTGTTACCTCACAATTGAAAGACTTCCCAGTGATTTGCAATTTTTCTACATAGTACTTTATTACTTGTTTATAGTCTAGAGCCTCACCTCAATCACTGAACAAATAATCGTGGCTTGCAAGTCTAAAATCTCTCATTTTCTCTCTTTTTTTTAGATTAAATAATTATATTCCGCTTAGGTGAGGCTATATTGTAGTACAAACAAACCTGAGATTTTAGAAGTTTAACACAAAGTTTATATACACAGACAAAAGAGAAGGTGTTAGAGTTAAATAATGTTTGTTTTTTAATGAAAGGATGGAAGGAAAGCTATATGTATGGTTAGAATGGATCCACAGAATAGAAGAAAGTGTGTGGTGATGAGCAAATTGAAGTATGATGATTAATGAATATTAGGATGATGGATAAGCAAAAAATACGAATGTGGATAAATTCATCTTTCAAGACAAGTGATTTTATCATGTATATGAAAACTAGCTGCATAAGCACATGGTTTATGGTAAATATCAGAAGAAATGTCTAAAATTGTTGCAAGTGTTATTTCTGGGAGATGGGAGTGGGAGGAGAGATTGGTCGGGCAGAGAGGGGCAGGAAACGTCTTATATTTCATTATAAGCCTTGGGTTCTCTTTAAACTATATGCATCTATATTGCTTTAGGAAAGATAAAAATTAATTTTAAAAACCTAAAGATATACCTGGTGAATGATACATATGTGTAGCCATGCTTTACAAAGTTGGATGGTGGGCGCCTGGGTGGCTCAGTCGGTTGAGCGACTGCCTTCGGCTCGGGTCATGATCCTGGAGTTCCGGGATCGAGTCCCGCATCGGGCTCCCTGCTCAGCAGGGAGTCTGCTTCTCCCTCTGACCCTCCCCCCTCTTGGGCTCTCTCTCTCTCACTCTCTCGCAAATAAAAAAATAAAAACTTAAAAAAAAAAAAAACAAAGTTGGATGGTATTCCTGGAGGGTACTCAGTCACTATGCAGTGAATTCAAGGATTACTGCTCCATCCTCCACCCTCTTTCTCTTCTCATTGGAAATGAGTGTCTTAGGGAATATTAGTTTCAAGCAAGAGGAGAAGAACGATTTGAATCTTATGAAATTAGAGGTTATTAGATGCACAAAGTCTAATATGGAAGACGATTTAGAGCCAGGAGAGGAATAACCCTAAAGGAGCTTAGGAAAGGGAATGGACAAGAGATGGTTCTATCAATGGGCAGATTGAGTAAACAAATAGAAAACTCCCCAAACTGCAGCTTACATGCCATTTTATGAGTCACTTTTCAGATGCCTTAGCAGCCCATCTTTACACAGTAGATGACTCTTTAGCTGTAATAATGGAAACTTGGAATTCCCATGTCCTGTATCCAGGAGTATTGCACATAGCAGACATCTGACGTTGTACTCTGCTCCAGGCTCAGTCTCATAACTGCTTGTTTTCATTGACTTTTTCTTTTTGCGCCTTCTTTTCATTGAAAAACATCACCACCACCACAACAAAGCCATAAAGAAATGATCATTTTTCACTCAGGTAAGACTAGATGAAACGGTTTTAAATTGAATCTGGGAGGGGATTTGTACAATACTAAAGAAAAAAATGCATGATGGAAAAATCATTTTAAAACAGACTAGGTTCTCATTGATCTCAATGGCTTAGTTTGGGATAAAAATAGACTAATTTATACACTGATTCTCTAATTGTATCATTTATTAGAAACGAGAGTTTGTTAAAACACTTGCTGGGGCCCACCCCCAGAGATTCTGATTCAGCAAGTTTCTAGGTGATTCTAACAAGTTACCAGGTGACACTGATACCACTAGTCTCGGACCATACTTTTGAGAACCTATGGATTGATTCTTTGATGATTTCTGAAATCCCCTGCTCAGGATATCCCTCGTTGTTTTAGAAACATGTTGCACTGGGTGAATACCTAAGAACCTCTGCTTAGGTCAACGGCTCCATATTGTCACACATTTGTACTGACGCTGTTTCTTTCCAAAAAGATTTTGCTTTGGGGACAGCTGGTAGAGTGTGTGAGGTCTTCACTGAAAGCTGCCTCCAGAATGCCCTTCATGGACTGCTTTGCTTTCTTCCTGAAATCTTTTCCTAGGAGGGCATAGAGGAAGGGATTAAAGCAACTATTGGCAGATGCTAGAGCAATGGACACGTGGTCCCAAGACAGCAGAGCTTCTCCAAAGGGAGTTTCTGGGCCAAAAAACAGTGACAGGACTCCAACGACGTGGTATGGAGCCCAGCAGACACAGAAGACAACCACCACAGCCATGGCCACTCGCAAGGTTTTGATCCGAGTCTTGGTGAAGCGGCCCCGTCGCATTCGGAAGATAATGAGGCCATAGCAGTTCAACATGACAATAAAGGGCAGAAGGAAACCCACCACTAGCCTAGTGATGGTTATTGCCATCAGGGGTGTTAGTACTTGATTGTCATATGAAAACTGGCCTAAATCATCATCCTGGAAATCTTGGGATAGCTCGTATGCGTATAAGGAATTGGTGGAAGTACCAGAGTAAAGCTCTACATCAGTAGAGAGAAAAGTATCAGAGTTATCTGGTGGGTCAATTCTGTGATCTTCAATGGGAAACCCACTGGGGATTATAGATGAGACCTCATCAGGAGGTTTAAATAAATTATAATATGGATGTTGACTAGATAATTTGGCTGAATCCATAGGGAGTGACTCGCCAGAAGGTCTTTGAAATGTTTGAGAATAGAGGATAGTGGTGGCTGTCCAAGGAAGATCATTTGTTTGTAAAGAGAAAGACTCTAATCTATCATCCATTTCTCCAGGCATCTGAACAATGGAGTTGTCAAGAGACCCATTTTCCAGGAAATCAATGGTGAAGTCTGAATAATCTAATGAGCTGTAGAGACCAAAATTGTAGCCACACATATAATGGTTGTCTACAGTGAATGTTTCCCGGTACATGAACACAGGTATACACATTACAAAAGCCACCACCCATATACATCCACAGATAGCAAAGGCTGTCCCCACATTGCGGTGATTCTGGCACCAGATTGGCTTGAGGACCAAGAGACAACGATCCAGGCTAATGGCAGTCAGCAGGAAGACGCTGGCAAACATGTTGAGGATGATGATGGAAGGGAGGAGCTTGCATAGGAGCCAGCCATAGGGCCAGTGTCCTTGGAGAGCCAAGTGAGCCAGGGAGAAGGGCAAGGAGAGGCAGCAGAGGAAGTCCGCCAGTGTGAGATGGAGAAACCAAACCGTGTTCACTGTCCGCTGCATCTTGAAGCCAGCCACCCACAGCACTAGGCCGTTGCCTGGCACTCCCAATAAGAAAGTGAGGCTGAGAATGATCATGGAGAGAATGACTTGGGGTTCATACCAGGGCTGTGAGGGTAGGTCAGTTGAATTGTTATCAGCAGAGGAAGCCTCCATTGCTAAACTTCTATAAAAATATAAACAAAAATATTAAAACTATCTTTTTTTTTAAAAAAGCATATCCTTAGAATTATAACCCTCTGTAGAACTACAAAGGCCCCTGTTTTATTTTTATTTTTTATTGATTTTATTTATTTATTCGTCAGAGAGAGAGAGAGAGAGAGCGAGCACAGGCTGGGGTAGAGGGAGAGGGAAAAGCAGACTCTCCGTCAAGCAGGGAGCCCGGCGCGGGACTCGACCCCAGGACCCCGGGATCATGACCCGAGCCGAAGACAGACGCTTAACCTACTGAGCCACGCAGGCGCCCCCGAAGGCCCCTGTTTTAGTTTGTATTCCTTGACTTCAATTCACAATGGACCACACAGAAACATTCTGTGATCGTTAAAATCTGCCATATCACTTTAAATGTGTATCGAAATCATAATTTCATTTGGAAGTCCTCTATCAGTGTATATTTCTCCTCTTTCTCGCACTTCCAATGTCTCAGTCTGCCCTGGTTCCTTTCCTCACCCGGTGTTCCCTATTAAATAACTGGGGGCACCTGGGTGCCTCAGTTGGTTAAGGTCTGCCTTCGCCTCGGGTCATGATCCCAGGGTCCTGGGATCAAGCCCCTCATCGGGCTCCCTGCTCAGCAGGGAGCCTGCTTCTCCCTCTCTTCCTTGCTTATGCTCTCTCTCACTATCTCTGCCTCTTTCAAATAAATAAAATCTTTTTTAAAGAAAATAAAGACATAACTGAGTCTACACCTTTTTTTGTGTAGTGAGTCATTTGAAAGTCTGGTGGAGGGAATGGATGGACCTTCTGCCCTCACAGAAATGAGAATATGTAAACTTAAAATCTTACATACCGTTTGAGTGGTGATGGAGCTTCATAAAGCTCTTTCATGGATCTAAAGCTGGGAACCTCTGCTCTAGAAGTTATTGTTTGTCCATTTAGCTTATTTGTTTTGTTTTGTTTTGTTTTGGTTTGGTTTGGTTTTAAAGATTATTTATTTATTTGACAGAGAGAGAGAGAGAGAGCACGCGTGCACAAATAGGGGGAGTGGCAGGCAGAGGGAGAAACAGGCTCGCCCTGAGCAAGAAGCCTGACTGAGCCACACAGGCGCCCCCAGTTATGGCTTTAGATACAACCTCATCTTTTCCTTCTGCTTTCAGATTTCTCAAGAGTTGTTTACCCTCTCAGCATTGATTCCCTCATCACCCGTCATTTCTTTCTTGTTTGTTTTTTTCAGTGTTATTCATAAATATATACACATATATTCATATATATACACATATGTGTATATATGTATGCATATTTTTCTTGATCAAAATGTAACAAAATTTGATTATTCTGTGCATATTTAAAAATTCTTTAATTATGGCAAAATACACATAACACAAAATTTACCATTCTAACCATTTTTTAAGTATAAAGTTCAGCAGTGTTAAGTATATTCACATTATTGTACAATTAATCTCTACCACTTTTTCACCTTGTAAAACTGAAACTCTAATTCTATGCGACACAGCTCCGCCCGCACTTCCCTCTTCCCTCAGCCCCTGGCAAACTACCAGGCTATTTTCTGTTACTATGTATTTGACTACTCTGGACATCTCATACAAATGGAAATCATACATTTGTCTTCTGGTGTCTGGCTTATTTCATTCAGCATAATGTTCTCAAGGCTCATCCATGTTGTAGCATATGTCAGGATGTCTTTCCTTTTTAAGGCTAAATAATACTCCATTGTATGTAAACACCACATTGTTTATTCCACTCATCTCTTGATGGACATCTGAATTGCTTTCATCTTTTAGCTCTTGTGAATAATGCTGCTATGAACTGGCATGCATATTGTTGTATAAACTGCTTTCCTTTTTCAGCAAGTCTCCACATTATGCAGTAAGATTGTACCTTAAGGAATACTCAGTCTTCATCTAGTTTTTTTCCAACCGTCCCCAAAACATTTTCTATAGCTGATTTGTCCACAGTTATAGCCAGTCTAGGATCACACTTTGCATCAGAACGTTATGTTTCTTAAGTCTCTCTCTCTCTCTCTCTCTTTTTAGCATAGTTTGTCTTTTTCAAGGATGCTAGCTTGTTTCAGGGTCTGTTGTTCTCACCACTCACTTTTTACCCTTTGTAATTTGTAATGTTTTAACCCCTTGTAATTTGTCTTCTGCCCTAACACGGTGCTAAAATTACCTCTAAATGACAAATCCAAATATGGTTCTCACTGTCTGCATCCACCACTACATTCTGTTGGCCTCTGTGACATTACCCTCCCCTAATTCCGAAGACTCCCGTAAATGCACCCTACCCTATAGCTTTCTTGAACAATTCACTATTCTGGCTAATGCTGTTTACTTCTGTCTGGAATTATGTCCTTCACCTTAAACTCCTTTGTCCTGCATCCTTAATCTCTGCCTCTTGAAATCCTAGCCATTCTTCAAACAAGCTCAAATATTATTCTTCCTTGAAATCTCCTCTTATAGTCTCAATCAGAAATTAGTTCTTTAACTTCTTAAATTTGTATGTATATGTGTTGAACCTCCTTTCATATTCTCTGTGCAGTGATGCATTTTGTCTTGTGTTATAATTACTACCAGGGCTATTTTATCTACTACTCTGGCCTTAAATTTCATGATGGTAAAAATGAGTCTAGTTCTTAAGTGCTTGTTCTACTGAAGTTAGCACAATGCCTTATATGACATAAGGATCAAAGATTACTTCAGTGGATGGATGTTCATTTGGGGGGTTTGGTTTTCAACTAATTTTAAAATTCTTATTCTTATCCATTTAATCCATTAAATATGCTGTCTCTTCTAACTTCTCTTTTTTCAGTTTCCAATTCTTACTGGCTATAATAGCATTTTGTGTTTCCTTTCATAGAGTCCCAAAATATTTTCGTGACTTGGAATTAGTTCTGCTGAGCTAACCAAATGCTGTCGTAGGGCCTTACATGATTAGCAGAAGTTAAAATAACCGAGTCAACAAAATAATAAAAAAGAAGAAGTGGTTCTCCTTCTCCTTCTCTGTAGCCTTATTCACTCAAATATTCAAGTCTTATTAGGATCCTTTCTTTCTTTGTTGTGCACGGCAGCTACCGTGATCCACTGTCCTGCTCCAATACATGTAGTCATATGGAGACCCATAAAACATTGAGAGGAGGATAGAATCAGAGAAGCTAGGACTAAAAGGAAACATAGCAATTATCTCTCTTGTCTCTAGTTTTATTTTGCAGTTTTTGACATGGAAACTCAGCAAATTAGGGACCGTCACATATTCACAACTAGGAGGGTTCTAAGATCTTAAGTCCAACGTCTGTCATGCCAATACTCTTTCCACTACAAAGAACCACAGAACTAAAAAGGCTTTGGTATTTTTTTTTTTTTTTTTTTTTTAGATTTTATTTATTTATCTGACAGAGAGAGGCACAGCGAGAGAAGGAGCACAAGCAGGGGGAGTGGGAGAGGGAGAAGCAGGCTTCCTGCTGAGCTGGGAGCCCGATGCGGGGCTCGATCCCAGGACCCTGGGATCATGACCTGAGCCGAAGGCAGACGCTTATCGACTGAGCCACCCGGGTGCCCCCAGGCTTTGGTATTGTTAATAAAGGGAAAGGTACGGAGAACTGCACAGACTGAAGTGATAAAGACTGAAAAGAGGGGTACCTGGGCTCAGTCTGTTAAGTGACTGACTCTGATTTTGGCGCAGGTCATGATCTTAGGGTCATAAGATCGAGCCCCGAGTTGGGCTTTGTTCTCAGCACAGAGTCTGCTGGAGATTCTCTCCCTGTGCCCCTGCCCACCCCACCTTGTGCTCTCTCTCTTCTCTCTCTAAAATAAATAAATAAATCTTAAAAAAAAGATTGAAAAGGGTAAAATTCCAATATAAATAGAGTCATTGGTGTGAGCTATAGTTTAAATATCACATATCATCTGTTTTGAAATGAAAGTATGTATGAATCAGTCTTAAAAGCTTTTCAGAATGAACAAGATCACTTTTTACATTCCTCCAAGTGTTTTGGCTGAAAGACACCTCTACGTTTAAGATTGGTAGAATTCTTTCTTTCTTTCTTTCTTTCTTTCTTTCTTTCTTTCTTTCTTTCTTTCTTTCTTTCTTTCTTTCTTTCTTTCTTTCTTTCTTCTTTTTTAGTTTTCAATACTAAATCGGCCAAAAGTAATTAAAAGGATAAAGAAAATCCTGAAACTAAAGTTCAATTATAATAGGAAAAGAAAGTAGATTCCAGAATCAAATACTAACAATAGGGCAACAGAGTCAGTAACAATAAGGAATAAACAAAAGAATAAAAGAAAAAAAAAAGAGGAAAATGGAATGAGAAAAAATATATATACATAAAGGCAACTGATTTGAAGAGCAAAACTATTGTGAAAAGCTGGAACAAAGTTCAGAAAGAGAAACAGCCAATTCAAGAGAGGAAAACAATGGCATGAAAATTCACTATTAGTTCTAGAATGAAAATGTGAAGAATGAAGATAAATAGAAGGTGGGATATTTAGAAAAAGGTGGATGTGGAGACAAAACAAAAGAAATAAAATTTGGGGAAGGAAGGCGGGGAAGAGAAGATAATGACCCTCAAACCATTACTGGTAACAAGCAGAAGTAGCATGAGTTATCAGGTGGAAGTAGGGTTTCTTACCAAAAACCTGAGACAGTAGCTGAAGGCCTCAGCACCAGTCTGGAGGTCCCCACAAATCCTGTGTGGTTCTCACACTTACCTACAATCAAGTTTGTGAAGTATGTGTAGGAAATCTGCTGAGTGCTTTCTCTTCCCTCTTTCTTCGTTTCTGATGATGATAGATGAAACTCCACACTTTTGACAGCTATCTGACTTCACAGGATGAGTTTTGAAGTGAATCACTCCTCAGTGTTTCAGATAAGACAAGTGAAAAAAGCAGAAGTGGGAGGGCATAATTCTGGGATGTTTTCTGCAGGACACAGACTACGGCTAAGGAGAGAGTACTTCTGTACATAAGCTTCTCACTTGATAAGTTTTTGCTTGCATTTTAGAAATGCACACAAATGACCCTACGTAATGTGAGGGTGGAGGTGCTGAGTGGTTGGGATGCATGACCTGCACAATCCCAGGTAAGAATCTCAAATAGGATCTCTTAAATGCTTACTATATGTAAAGAAACATGCCATACGATAATCAGATTAATTAAGCTATGTTCTAATGTTGAGAGATTCACAATATAGTAGGAGTATGCACCCCTACACACACAAAAAAACGCCTATGATACAACCGAGACTATAATGGCAGAAGTACCAATAGACGTAAAATAGTAGAGATCCCAGCGTCCTGGGATCGAGCCCTGCATCGGGCTCTCTGCTCTGCGGGAAGCCTGCTTTTCCCTCTCCCACTCCCCCTGCTTGTGTTCCTGCTCTCGCTATCTCTCTCTCTGTCAAATAAATAGATAAAATCTTAAAAAAAAAAACAGAAGTAAAATAGTAGAACATAACAGGGAAGGCTACATTTAGCCTGGGGCAAACTAAGAAAGTCTTAAGGTAGAAGTAAGATCTGGGCAGGTCCTTAAAGAATTTTTTTTTAAAGATTTAAATTAAAAAAAAATATTTTTATGTATTTATTTTAATTATTTTTTTTAAGATTTTATTTATTTATTTATTTATTTATTTATTTGACAGAGAGAGCACGAGAGAGCACAAGCAGGGGAAGCGGCAGGCAGAGGGAGAGGGAGACACAGGCTCCCTGCTGAGAAGGGAGCCCAACCCAGGACCCTGGGATCATGACAGGAGCCAAAGGTAGATGCTTAACGACTGAGCCACCCAGGCGCCCCTTTTTAAAAAGATTTTTTTAATTTATTTTATTGGAGAGAGAGAGTGCGCTTGAACAGGGGGAAGGGCAGAGGGAGAGAGAGAATCCCAAGCAGACTCCATGCTTAGCATGGAGCCCGACACAGGTCTCAATCTCATGACCCTGAGATCTTGACCTGAGCTGGAACCAAGAGTTGGACACTTAACCGACTGAGCCACCCAGGCACCCTTGAGCAGGTCCTTAAAGACTTCTATAGATAGGAGAAGCTCACATGCTGTTTAGAGTTTTTAAGTGGAGCAAAATGAGAGGCAGGTCAGTGGGAGAATGCTTCAGGTATTGGGGATGGGCAGAATAGTCAATCAATTAGATTGTTTCATCAGGAAGGTGTGTAGAAGATTGAAGCAATGACTGCTGCTTAAAGTACACCTCTTAAAGAATTCTCACTCACATTATTCTTTTATACGTACACATATGAAATAAAATTCACTTGGGTCAAATGTATTTGAACACTGTTGCCTGGGGTAAAGGCTTCAGTCCATATTAATCACCTTATTGTCCAAACAATATCTGTTCCTTCTCTTGTTTGCAGAGAAATCACCGTGAACTATTTTTTAAGGCAGAAAGACCCAAGAAACATGACAAGAGTTGAGAATGATTGATTGACTGCTTGATGTCTATTGTTATCTAATGACAGGAGTAGTACAGATAAGAAAGATTAATTGAAATAATACAAAAGTATAAAGGGTAAAAGAATGAAAATTTTTATTTCCAATTCCACTGCCTGGAAGTAACTAGTTTTAATAGGTTAGCATTCATTCTTTGTGAATTTGTTCTAAGTATAACACAAATCTTTTAAAAAGGTAGTTTCAAACAAAAATGGGATTATAATTTACATGTGATTTTAATGACCTGCTTTTTTTGCTTAACAATATGTTGGAGCATATTTCCATGTTAGTGCATATAATTCTATTAATTATATTCTGTTTTTTTATCTAGTATTTGGAAACATGGAATAATGAAGGTATTCAGAAAGCACAAATACTAAGCATACAAAAGATAGTATTATCATGTGTGCATATATACACATTTTATATATATCTACATATATACATTAAATAATTCACTCCCATGTTAAAAAAAAAACCTTAAATATAGAAGGACTAAAATGAACACTAAAATTTCCAGAACGCCTAGCTATCCTATTTTTACTCCCTGGAGGTAATCTCTTTCATAAATATAAATGCAATTTCATTACATATGTTGTCTTTGCTTTTTCTATTTATCTTTTCATATCAGGACATAGTCCACATCATACTGTTTAAATTGCTCCGTATTATGCCATTTAATCAATTATTCCTCTGTTGACGGATAGTCTGTTTTTATCAATATTTTTTTAAAGATTTATTTATTTTAGAGGAGAGAGAGAGAGAGAGAGAGAGCTCAAACATGAGCAGGGGGAGGGGCAGAGGGGAAGGGAGAAGGAAAGAGAATCTCAAGCAGACTACCTGCTGAGCGCAGAGCCCTATGCAGGGCTCAATCTCACGACCCTGAGATCATGACCTGAGCTGAAATGAAGAGTCAGGCGCTCAATGACTGAGTCACCCAGGTGCTCTGGTTTTATCAACTTTTAAAGCAGTTACAAGCAATGCTCCAATGAGTACTTTTGTATTTTACACATCTATGAATATTTCTGTAGAATAGATTCCTAGAGTTAAATCGCTAAATCTAAGAGTATGTGCATTTACATTTTTGAAAGATATATAATTTCCTACTAAAGAGATTCCATCAATTTATACTTCCACTAACAGTGGTGAAAACATCTTTTCCACTTGCAAAAGATAAGGTCTTTATCATTAAGTTCAGTATCATAAACATGTACTCTACTCTTACTACAGACACTATGCTTTGTGCTGTAGGAGATACAGAAGAAATGAGAGATGTACATCATTATACCATAATAAGGGCTGCTGGGTCACTCTGGAAAAGAGTATGGAGGTTCCTCAAAAAGTTGAAAATAGAGCTACCCTACGACCCAGCAGTTGCGCTAGTGGGTATTTACCCCAAAGATACACATGTAGTGATCTGAAAGGGCATGTGCACCCCAATATTTATAGCAGCAATGTCCACAATAGCCAAACTATGGAAAGAGCCTAGATGTCCGTTGACAGATGAATGGATAAAGAAGATGTGGTATATATATACAATGGAATGTTATGCAGCCATCAAAAAATGAAATCTTGCCATTTGCAACGATGTGGATGGAACTAGAGGGTATTATGCTAAGTAAAGTCAATCAGAGAGAGACAATATCATATGATCTCCCTCATATGTGGAATTTGAGAAACAAGGCAGAGGATCATAGGGGAAGAGAGGAAAAAATGACACAAGACGAAACCAGAGAGGGAGACAAACCATAACAGACTCTTAATCTCAGGAAACAAACTGAGGGTTGCGGGAGTGGAGGGGGGTGGGCAGGATGGGGTGGCTGGGTGACGGGCATTGGGGAGGGTATGTGCTATGGTGAGCGCTGTGAATTGTGTAAGACTGATGAATCACAGACCTGTACCCCTGAAAAAAATAATACATTATGTTTTTTAAAATTTTTTTAAATTTTATTTATTTTTGAGAGAGAGAGAGAATGACAGAGAGAGAGAGAATGAGAGGGGTGAGGGTCAGAGGGAGAAGCAGACTCCCTGCTAAGCAGGGAGCCTGATGCGGGACTCGATCCCGGGACTCCAGGATCATGACCTGAGCCGAAGGCAGTCGCTTAACCAACTGAGCCACCCAGGTGCCCCTAACACATTATATGTTAATAAAAAATATTTTAAAAAATCTTCCTATAAAAAAATAAAATAAAATGTTTTATCTGGTAAAAAAAGGGGGGGGGCTGCTGGGAGGTTCCCAATGTGCCCAGAAACATGGAAGAGAGAAAGGCTAATTCTTACAATATAATTCTTACAAAGGCAAACAGATGCACTGAAGAGGTAGCACTTGAGCTAGGCTTTAAAGATGGGTAGAAATTTTACAGGCCCTGGTAGTGGAGAAAAAATAACATTTTATCTGTTTCTCTGCCCTAGGAGGTCATGACTTTGTTTAGTTGAAAAGGATGTTGACTTTTGAATATAATTCAAAGAATTAAGAGTCTTTAAGGTTGTTTCTCAAGTGGATTCAGTTTCACTGGCTCCTGTCCTTCTAAAGATTATAAAGTAATCAAAACCAGGTAGAGAACTTCCAGCTGTGATCTTTAGATTTCAGATCAGGAAGGAAATTGTTGAAAACATCTTGTAAATGGTAGTCCTGCTTCTGGATGACTTCTGTCCCTTCTTAGAAAGTACTAGCTGTTTTGTGGTGTAATGTTGAAAATTGGGGAGATTTATGTGGTTATCTTCTGTTTTGTTCCTTTTTTTTCTTTAACATTTTATTTATTTGAGAGATTGAGCATGAGCAGAAGAAGGCGCAGAGGGAGAGGGACAAGCAGACTCCCCACTGAGCATGGAGCCCAACCCAGGGCTTGACGCAGGGCTTGATTTCAGGACACTGAGATCATGACCTGAGCCGGAATCAAGACTCCGAGGCTTAACTGACTGAACCACCCAGGAGCCCATGTTTTGTTCTTTTTGAATATCTAAATTATAAACGTCTAAGCAAAGATTAGATGATCTAGAAGGAAATTTTGAATATATATTACAAAGTCAGTCATGAGCTTTATGAGCTACTGATTAATTCTACATTTTCAGTGATGGCAATTTGTAGTCACCTGGCCAAATTAAAAACTTCAGAATCATAGAATCTCTAGCCTGCTTTGTCTGAGAGAATTAAAAATAAATATGCAACAAAAATTTCTGCCCTTAAGGACTTTGATGAAAACTGAGTTTGAATCCCAGCTCTACCACTTCACTGTGGGACTGTACAGAAATTATTTAAACCCTGTGTTTTCATTTCCTCACCTGCAAAACGGGGATTGTGTTGGATCTTGTCTATTGAACTTAAACCCATTCCCATCCTTTCTTATTATCTCTCTGTTGGAAGGCTGGGCACCACATGTCCTAGACCTTCTCTCCAATGGAATTCCGAGGAGACTCTGCC